TCTTACACACAGGTTATCGACCTGGATCCAAACCTTCTAAATACGGTACGAAAAAAAAAAAAAGGATCTTTACGTTAAAAAAAAGCAACCCAGAAAAACTGCTAAGTGTTTAAAATCTTTAAAATCACAGGAAATGTATATTTTTATGCTTATTTTGGTAAAGGTCAAGTTGGGTCCAGTGGAGGTGGGGTCCTTGGAGGGGGAGCAGGACAAGGTGGTTAATTCTTCTGTTGGTGTTTGTGGTGGCAGGGCATTTTTTCCTCCTATACTGTCTGTAAACATAGTTTTGGGGTAATATGAAAGTGTATTACTTTTTTTTTTTAATCATGTAAACATAAATGTATTTTGTCTTATTAATTGTCTTCTATGAAGCCAAAAGACAAACAGTTGAAATCGTTATTTTGGGTCTATGAGGGCACAAGGGGAAATTGTATAAGCCTAAACCATCTTCATTAAGACTTGCTTTTTTAATAAGTCCTCCTTTTTTAGGGTGCTGTCCTGTCTCATTAGTTTCTTTGTTTGTTTGTTTTTCATATGACACTGTACAATGAAAGGACACAGGTTCTCTAAATCCTATTAAAGATCAGACCTGAGCATTTTATTAGCATAACCTTTAGTTGTCCATCACTGGCTCAGGGTACTCTTCAGAACATCCCATAATAAACATAAAGTTTCAGTTTAACAAACATGTCTGTACATGTTTTTATGATATTTGGAATAGAATTTGTTTGTGCACTTTTTATAAGTGTAATGAACACAGTCTTAACATGCTGCTAAGATGTTTGGCCTGTTAATTGAACTCACATTGCAGTGGTAAACATGCTGAATGAGTTCAGATTCGCTAAAAGCAGTAACATATAATCATTCACTTATTTAGCCCCTTTTCAAGTCAGGGGAGCCCTTTCACTACATTCAGCCATTGATGGTGAAAAGCTACATTGTAGCCACAGCTGTCCTGGGGCACACTGACAGAAGTGAAGCAGCCCCACACAGGCACCACCTGACCTCTGACCACCATCAGCAGGCAATGCAGGTGAATTGTCTTGCTAAAGGACTCAGAAACTGAGACGGATAGAGCAGAGGTTCAGACCGCTAATCTTCCAACTGCTGGAAGATCTCATGTATCTTTTGTCACTATCGCCCCAACAACACATTTCAATATTCTAAAAACAAACTTGCAAACAAGTTGCTTTTTTGAGGCACAGTTACAGAGTTTAGTCAAAGGATGCCTACATCAGCACAGTTTGTAGCAGTTTGTAGCACTGATGCCTTGCAGCAAGAAAGTCCCACGTTTGATTCCCGGCCTTGGTTCTTTCTGTACGGAGTTTGCATGTTCTCCTTGTGCATGCATGGGTTGTTTCTGGGTACTCTGCTTTCTTCCAGCACTTCAAAAACATAACTGCTAAGTTGATTGGCATCTTTAAATTGTCCTTCGGTGTGAGTGTCCACTGTCATGTGCCTCTGTGTTGCCCTGTGATAGAGCTGCCAGCAGTCCAGAGTGTACTCCACCTTCGACCCATGCACTGCTATAGATCTATAGACCCTGACAGACAAGCGGTATAAGATCACTGGGTGGATGGAGTTCAGTCAACAGCCTTAGTGGTTTCAACACCTAAAGACGCGTTATTGCCTTAACAAATTAGGCAGTGTCTTATGCCCTTAACTGTGAAGTGTTCAGTCAACAAAAACTGTTTTATTTTTTTGAAAATTCGGCTCTAAATATTTATCCCAGTTTTGGAAAAAAGGTACGGTTTGAGATGATGGTTGAAGATGGCTACCACATTATTAGTCGTCTGTGCAGGATGTTTTGCTTCCTGTTGGTGAAATTGAAGCAGTTTTATTGTTTATCCCCAGATTGTGGAACAGTTAAACCAGCCACATTTGACAAACAGAAGAAAGTGGTGCATTTAATGTCGTCTAGAAGAAATTTGTCAATAGATTTCTTCATCCATCCCTCTTCTTTCGCTTATGCCATCAGGGTCACAGTGTTTATCTTCACTATGGGTAAGAGGTGGGGTACACCTTTGACAGGTCGCCAGTCTGCTGCAAGGAAACACAGAAACATAACTTCATACACCATGCACACACACCTAAGGACAATTCAAAGAAGTCAATTAACCTATGTGTTTTGACTGTGAGGAAGCCGGAGTACCTGGAGAGAATCCATGCATGCACAGGGAGAACATGCAAACTCCATGCAGAAAGACCCGGGGCAGGGAATCAAACATGGAATCTTTTTGCTGTGATGCAACAGTGGTACAAACTGCACCACTGAGCAGCCCATCAATAGATATCTCTCTTTTTCCCTCATTTCTGGATCATTCAGGTGCTGTTCTACCCGGGACAGGAGTAGGAACCAGGGTTGGAGGCAATGAAACAATCAGCACTAGCGGTGCAAGACCAACACCGCGCCCTGGTGGTGAGCCTGTCTTTTGAAAAGTTAGCACAGTTATAATGCCCACTTAGAATTAATAATTTGATCATTTCCTTTGGACAACCATGTACCGCATTGGATCAGAAACAAGACCTGGAGCTCCGGATGGCACACCAACACCCGCAGCGGAATGTATCTCAATTTTTCTTTGTACACGCGTAAATAAAATAAACAAGAACATGATACAACCTCAGCTAAATGTTCTGTCTTTTATAATTAAGAACTTTGGTTGTTTTTTCTAATTATTTTCCAGTTGAGAGCGGTACTACCACTGTTTTGGAGGGCTCTGGCATTCCTGGAGGAGATGGTTTGTTAACTTTTTACAATCTTTTACATCGTCAAGAAACTTGTCTTAAATAGCATGTCCTTTCAATAAAAAAACAACAACACTGTTGTAACAACCTGATAGTTACCAAAGCAACATAAAACAAGATGATTTCTATCTCATTGCTGTGATTTTTTATAATAATAATAATTTGTGATATATCATACCAAAATAGGAGGGACAGTTGTAGGTGAGAGGCCAGTGGGAGGACATGGAGATGGTTTGAATGGAAGCAGTATTCCCATCATTGGATCAATTCCAGGTAATTCTGGCGGCGACCTCTCAAAAACAAAAATCCACATTGTTAAATTTCAAATATATTTTTGTATAATTGGAAGAGAAGTTGTTAATCATCTTTCTATAATAGGATTTAACGGGACCACAATTCCAGGTGAGAATCTTTATGTACTTTCAAAACCAGTATAACTATTTATTTTTGTCCAATGGAAATCAGGTTATGATATTACCCTCTCAGTATTTGCTGATAGTATCATATTGGCATATCCTGACCTAATTAATGTACTTTATATGAACATTATTTTCATAGACTTCCCATACAGGACCCCCATATGACAATAAAATGGCACTATTTATTTAAACAGTTTATGTTAACTAAAATTACCAAAAATTAATCTGAAAATGTTCAACCTTTCCCACAGTTCTGCAATAAATGTTCTTCCTTTTATTGGTAAAATTTATATGTATATAGACAGACAGACAGACAGACAGAATTTGTGATATATTTCAGAAATTCCTACAAATTATGGAAGCTGAACTGATTTCAAGTTTTCTTTGAAGCCTGGACTTCCCATTCAGACTTCCGTTCAATTAGAGTGCTATATTTTAAGAGGTTTATATTTTGCTACTTGTTATATGATACAAATAATAGCTTTAAATCTAATAGAAAATGAAGGACTTCTAGACCATCCCATTTTATTGATAGAACACATGTTTCTTACCTGTACATGATCTTGCTGATAACTTTTTTGAGAAAAAATCTCAATCTTTTATTATATTTACAATAAAAATTAAATTTATTTCAAATTACCGTAGTAAAGTTACATCTACAAGAAATCACATGTATTTTTCTAGTACAGAATTTGCGCTTAATTTCTGAACTTGTTGTTCTCATGTCTGACAGATTCCACAGGAGCTCCCTCTGGTAAGTTAACTTTAATAATAATGATCATCAAGATTTAATCTTTATAGACTTACAGTATAGACATTAATAAACTGAAATACTGTTTTCAAAATTGTTCAAGAAGAAAAGTAAACTAAAGTATTAAGAAGGTCCCAACATGATACTGCTATTCTTCCAACAAAATCTGAGTCTTTCAGAGTTTCTATATACTTAAAGCTTTTGCAGCTGTTAGTGGCCACTCCTTTTACCACAAAATAGTGGCGCTTGGTAAAAACCAAACCCAAAAGAGTTACTTTCAGGACTGCAAAATAATAATTTACTGAAACCTTTTGTGCTTAAAAAAAACAAACAAAAAAATAACATGTGTTTCTGACTTTACAGTTGGTGGTGCAGCAGTACATAGTTTCATAGTTTCATAGTTTCATATCTATCTATCTATCTATCTATCTATCTATCTATCTATCTATCTATCTATCTATCTATCTATCTATCTATCTATCTATCTATCTATCTAGATGTGTGTGTGTTAATTGTTTAAAAACTTTTTTCACTTTTCCATCTATTTTATTTCTTTATAATTTAACTGAAACAGGACTCCCCCCTAGTGGTGAGACTGGATCATTGCATTCATGTAGCTAAAGCCAATAGTAAAAAACTCACTTTGACTTCTTTACTTTGTTCTTTGCAGGTTCAGGTGGGGACCTGTCAGGTGGAGGGCTCTCACAAGCCAGACCTCTCAAACCTCCAGGTGAATTGAATTATGTTTTACTGTTATTAAGTTTGGAAACATGGTTAATAATATTTATATGTTTATTTATATTGCACTTCCAGCTCAAGAATACAATGTAAAAAGTACAAGCATAGTATGAGAAAATCCAAGTACCACACTTTAATTAAGAGAACAATGCCTTGCAAGAGTATGCCTTGAACTTTATCATATTTTCTAACATAACAATTACACACTTAAGTCACTCTTAAATTTACACTCACGTCCCTTTATTGCAATCAGTGTTTTACCTCTCCCTTTTAGCCTATATGGAAAAATGCAATGTGTGACAGAAAGCTGATACTACATATCAATCTGAGCACACCATTACCACAAAGAAACTTTGAGGCGAGATATGTTTCTCTGGTGATTATCTTTTCCTCAGAGCAGGGAATCTTTTCAGAGCTAATAAGAAAAAAAAACGATCAAGGTCAATTCAGGGTGTTGTGGGAAACAAATTACTTAACTATTTACTCCAGTTAAATAAACTGGAGTAAATTGTAAATGGAGTAATAGTACATAACATCTTTGTAAAGAGAGAACAAGACATCATACCGCCCTTACTGCTCGGTAATCTGCCCTGTTCTGATCTGGCCAGCATTTGTCTCCCTTCCTTACAATAATCGAAAGTATTCAGAGTCAAAGCAAACTACAGACACTTTGGTTAAACAGTAGCATGTTATGAATAAACCGTGAGAAAGGATCTTGCTTGGGAATAAGTATTTCTTGTATTTTATTCATTCATCCTCAGGGATGGCCTTGCATCTCTGCGGCTGAATGAATACAACTCAGAACTCATAAATCTGTATACATATATACCCACATAAAAAACATAAAAGGGAATTAATAGGATATACATTTTTTTTACCACCCCAAAGACAGTATTGTAAACGTGCAGAGGAGTTTAATCTGGGTAATTAAATCCTAAACATTCATCCATAACTACATTGCAAAATGAGGTGTTCAAAGCCAGCTTTTATTCAGTCAAACTGATTCCAAGCACATCTAGAGTCTTTGTCTATCTCCTGAGGTTTTTAAGCTGATAGAAACATACCCAAAATCTATTTGATGTGAAAATGTGTCTTAACACAGTATGGACTTAGAAAGACTTAACACGCTATACAAATATGCACTACGATCTGTTGGTCTTTTCCATAAAACACTAGTTAAAAGTTACAAACAAAGTGAGAAATAGTATGATCATTTTTGTAGGACAATGTTGCTGGAATATGTTTGGTCTTCGCCTCAAAGATTAGGTAATGTATTTGTTTGTCCAAAAGGTGTTCCTAGGGGTGACACGCCAGGCGAGGGAGATGGGGAAGGAGGTCCTGATGGGGAGAGTGATGGTAGGCAAAGCAGTGAAGGAAGACCAGGAGGAGTTGGAGGGAGCCCGACTGCAGCTGAGGGAGCAGGAAATGTCTCAGGCAGAGAAACAGGAGTACCAAGAGGGGACACTCCAGCCACTGGAATTGGAATCCAACCAGGGAGATCTGCTGGTGCAGTCGAAGGAACAGCGAAACCACCTAAAGGTCCAGATTTACTCAGATATAGAAAAATAAACAATTGGACTAGATTCCAAATGACAAAAATCCAAACAAAATAATGAACTTTTTTTCTCCAAGACGGGGCTCTAGCAGGAGGTGCAGGTGTTCAACCAGGTGGAGTTGGAGGTGGAACTGGAGGCACTGGGGTGGTGCCAGGGGCCGTTGGTTCTAGTGGAGTAGGAACAGGCATTGCAAAGCCTGGAAAAAGTGAGCAGCAAGTTTTAGTTCTAGAAAATGTTTTTAATTCACCCAAAGCTTATGTCTGTTTCATTAAACTTATTAATCTTATGTATTATCTTTTGCAGGCTACAATCCAGCTGGGGTTCTACCAGGTGGAGGTTTGTAAACGTAAACTCTGAAGTTAGGACGTAGCTCGAACTGCTGCACAACATATCCCTTATTTCCCACTCAGGTCAACGCTACCCCAATAGTGGCGGGTATGGTGCTGGTCCAGGAGGTTATGGAACTGGGCCTGGCGGGTTTGGAACTGGTCCAGGAGGTGTAGCACCAGGCTCAGGTAGAGTCACTGTTGGACCGGGAGGATATGGTGGCGGCATAGGACCTGATGGTAGATTCAAAGCTATAAAAAATGAAAAGTTCAGAGCGTTTAGATAAACAAGGAACCTGTCTGTAATTTGTGTTAAGCAGGTTCTAGATATGGCACCAGTTCTGTAACTGGCAAACCCTCAAAAAGTATGACAGCGTTGAATAAATGCAGTTTAAACACAGATGAAGGAACCTTGAACTGAACAGTATTTCTTTCTAGGTTATGGAGCTGGAGTTGGACCCGGCAGCTATGGTCCTGGTGTTGGACCTGGAAGCTCGCTCCCTGGAGGTGGTTACGGAACCAGTGGTACTGGTCAAGCTGGATTTGGACCAGGCGCTGCCAGCACAGGACTAGGAGGGGCTGGAAACAGACCAGGCACTTTTGGTCCAGGTGGTGTTGGCACTGGGCCAGGCAGCTTTGGACCTGGTGGAGCAGGGTCTATTCCTGGTGTTTATTCTGCTGGAGGTCAAGGACTAGGAACCAGAAAACCACCAAAAACAGGTAGAATAATAAATACATTAATGCTAATGAGACTTATTTATTTAACTAGCTGTGAAGCATTTCATGACATGAAACTCTGAACAGGCTATGGATCATCACTGGGTGGAGCTGGATACGGCCAAGGTATTTATTATTCATTTCTTCATTCGGTTAAATAGGAACCATGACATTTTTTTTATATCATAGTAAAACTAAATGTGCCAGATTTAACCAATAAATTAAAAATAACTTATTGGTTGATGGTACAACAATTTCAAAGGGAAAGCAAATAAAATTCAGCTTTTATTGAAAACTGAAGCGAAAAATTGTTTTAAAAAACAGCAACAACAATGCTTGAGTAAAAAATATGTAAAAATTAAAAAAATATACCAAAACCAAAGTGTTCACAGCGCTGATTTACCTTCAGATTGTCTCTGACTGAGCCATAAAGATAGAATATGAAGATAAAGTTTAGAAACCTTCCCAATATTTACAACCATTTACCAACAAGGCAGGCTGTCCACGTTTTGTTTCTCTCTTTGTATTTCACAGTCACCTCCGTTTTAAAAACAAGGCAAACAAGCACATATGAAATGAAGAAAATTTGAAATTACTCATTTACCATATTATAATACATTGCAAAGTTTTTTTTTGTGTGTGTGTATCTTTTTTTCATAGAAATTTTTAGAGCTCCATTTACTATGGGAAGCAGTTTAATTCAAAATTAAATAAATAAATACTGATATTGTTAAATTGTGATAAATATTACGTTAAATGCATAAATATCCCAATAAAATAAAACAAAATAAATATGTTCATATATTTTTTTTTTATTTTGATTATATTTCAATGTATTCATTTATTCAAAGATTTATTAATTGCACAATTTATCCATTTATTTTGTTTATAATAGAGTATTATTTTGTGACACTTTTATTCTTTAAAGCTACTTTACCTATTTGGTGACTTTTATTTTGTAATTTTAAGCTCCTTTTATTTCATGTTCTTATATATAAATTAGGGGGCAGATTTTTATCTAATGGGTTGTGCTAGTTAGGATTGGCAGAGTGTATCTGCTTTGCAGACTGAAGTACTCCATTAATGATGACCAATCAAGTGAGTGTTCCCTCTTGCAGAGCTGGTCTTGTCATTACCCAGTTTATATCGGAAGCATGATTGATTTTTTTTCTTTTTTTTTTTTTTTTTTTTTTTTTTATTACATTTTTTTCACAAACAAAACTTACAGGCTTTTATAGACTTGAAGACAGTTCAAGCAGAAAGTTAACAGTATCAATAATAAAAAATGCAAAAACAATAAAAGCCATACAAAAAAGAAGACAAAAAATAAGCTAAATGTCAGCTGGGGTCACATTATAATAAAGATTCTCTATATAATTACAAACTTTTAAAGAGTCACTTAACAGAGCTAGATTATTAAGAACGTACCATTGTACATTGGTTTAATTTGAGCGAATTTACACTTGTGAACAAAACATTTAGCCAAAATAAAAGAGAGAGCTTGCGAAGAGAGCTTTCCTGAGGTATTATACACTGTAGCTTTACGGGATTATACCAGACTATGGTCAGACCAAGGTAACATAAAGAGTTTGGCTAAACCCTAATTCTACCAGCACCATCATATTCCAATTAAAAGAAGGAAGATATCTGAGGCAAAACCACCACAGGCCAAAATAAATACATACTTATATATAGATAATTTCCCAAACACTGGAGGAAATTTATCATAATGATAAATATAGAGTGGTGGTTTGGAGGTTCTTTGCTCCTTCTAGGGAAAAAAAAAAATTATGTCTACTTGCAGGCTTCAACAACTAAATTGCTTAGACCCAATCCAGACCTTCCAATGCTGAATTTCGATAATATTTCAAACCTAAAAAGGGTACAACCAGGTTAATGACTTAAGACACATTTTCACACAAGGCAATGTTTCTGTATTCTTTTTTTTTTTTTACCTAAAATAAGGGATGGATAATAATTTGATACGAATATATATAGCAATATACTTTAATTCAATAATAGTGATATAACTTTTAACGTTACTGATATGTCAATATACATAAACATCTATTAATACAACATTTGTCACTGACTAGTAATCTGTTTTTTTAAACAAAATATAAAACCAAACAAAACAAGCTATTCAATATAACAGTATATATTAAATAAGTTTGAGATCAAGTCCAACTTTTGTTCTGAAAAACAACATATTTAGTTTTTCTCTTTTTTCAACAGACAACATTTAAAAAGCATACACCTAGTTGAATTCAAAGCAGATGTAAGGATAAAAGATACTTCTTAGACATTTTTTCCATGTGTATAAATAATCATTTAACATCTGGTGTGAGTGATGTAATATAATTTAATGTAGAAAATGAATGTAAGGAGCAAATAAGACTATCCAAGAACAGAGCTGTGAGGGACTTCTAAAAAGCAAGGTAAGCTTTTAAGTAGAGAGCCATTGTTGGGACAAAGGTTTAAGCTCAAGTTTTCTCTCTAGGGGGAGCCGCTAAAGGTCGGACTAGCTCTGAAATTTGGGAGGTCTAAGTAGATTTCACCAAAAATTGTGCTAACAACATCAATAACGGAGATAGCTTTGGGGAGATGTAGGAGTAGGGTGCAAAAATTTGCCCTGCAGCTGGAGGGTTGCCAGTTAAAACTCTACTTCCATCCGAGTTGTTGTGCCTTTGGGCAAAACACTTCACTCGCATTGCCTACTAATTTATATTTTGGTAAATGTGCCGCTTGTATATGGTGTCACCTTGCTTCTCTTAGTGTCCTAAGTGTTCTAAGAGTTTCATAAATAAATATGTCTAAAGATTTCTTTTTGACAAAATAAATAACCTTTAAAAGATATAAAAAGAAAACTAAAGGTAACACTAAATGAATACTAATATTAATAATAATGAAAACTGCTCTGGACCTGTGTCATTGTGTCTTTGGCTTCTGTGCATATTTATCAAATCAACTATGTTACTACAGGTACTGGACCTGGCAGATACGGACCTGGTGTTGTTGGGCCTGGAGGAGTCTCACCAGGTGGAGCCGGCACAGGAACCGGAGGCTTTGGACCAGGTGGTGCTGGAACTGGAACCGGAGGCTTTGGACCAGGTGGCACTGGAACTGGAGGCTTCAGACCCGGTGGAACTGGAACTGGAGGCTTCGGACCAGGTGGAGCCGGCACAGGAACAGGAGGCTTTGGACCAGGTGGTGCTGGAACCGGAGGTTTTGGACCAGGTGGTGCTGGGACTGGAACGAGAGGTTTTGGACCAGGTGGTACTGGCACAGGAACTGGAGGCATTGGACCAGGAAGCCAGACTTTGGGAAAAAGAAAGCCCTTTAAATCTGGAGCTGGCACAGGACCTGGAGGCTTTGGACCAGGTGGTGCTGGCACAGGAACTGGAGGCTTTGGACCAGGAGGCACTGGCACAGGAACTGGCGGCTTTGGACCAGGAGGTGCTGGCACAGGAAGTAGAGGCTTTGGACCAGGAGGTGCTGGTACAGGAACTGGAGGCTTTGGACCAGGAGGCACTGGCACAGGAACTGGCGGCTTTGGACCAGGAGGTGCTGGCACAGGAACTGGAGGCTTTGGACCAGGAGGTGCTGGCCAGGGAACTGGAGGCTTTGGACCAGGAGGTGCTGGCACAGGAACTGGAGGCTTTGGACCAGGAGGTGCTGGCACAGG